AGAGAAAGATTGAATATATTAGTAAGTAAAATCAACTATTTCATTATATAAATTAACCACATTGGAATTCTGTATGGTTCCTGTCCATTGGTTCTTTGCTAGCCAAATTGTTTACATCATCCACAAACAATAACAACTACTTCAGTCACAAGTAGGTTGCGTTCTAATCTGAAAAGCTGATAATTGTCAGCTAGTAAAGATCTGCTTGTATTTTTGTTAGCAGCAACTTTTTATCCTTTTCAATAGGAATATTTTCAATGAAGTATTAATAATGTCACCTGAAGTATCATATAAACAATTTATATGAAACCATTTGTCTGCCTTTGCCTTATAGCCTTTGCCAAGTCCTTTATTAAGCTGTTAAAGCTATAAAACAATATTTACCCATTAATAATAATTATCAGTAACTTGGTTATTAGTTTTGATTAACTTGGTTATCAGTAAAGTCCTTAATAGAAAATATTCTAGAGTTTCATGCTAAAATTTTTTTTAGTTTATTTATTTATTTTGAGAGGGAGAAAACACAAGCAGAGAAGGAGAGAGAGAGAATCCCAAGCAGGCTTCTCACTGTCAATGCAGAGCATGACGTAGGGCTCGAATCCATGAACCATGAAATCCATGACCTGAGTCACAATCAAGAGTCTGAAGCTTAATCAACTGAGCCACCCAGGCGCCCCTCTCATGCTAAATTATGAAAGAGGACTATTAACATACCTTTTTTTTAAAACTGGATTTGCCTTAAAACGTAGCAGGATATAGGCAAAATTAAATGAACAGTGGTAGTCACTACCTTTTTTTTATTGAGTGTTCATTGGCTAACATTTTATCACATTTTAAGTCTTCTAGTGGGATTACCATTATATAAGGATGATTTTCAATATCAAGTGCAAAAGTAAAGTTACCAAGAGTCACCATGGCTATTTAAGTTAATTTAAAGTTAAAATTTATTTCCTCAGTCATACTAGGCACACCATGATTAATAACCACATGTAACTAGTGTCTACAATATTGCTACTAGTAGAAATACAAAATATCTCCATCTAGTTGCAAGTTCTGTTGGCCCAGAATATTGGTCTATTATAATTAAATATAAGTTAAAGATGACCCATGTAAGTAATAGAAAAGATAATAAAGCCAGGGGTACAAATCATAGATAACTTGTCAGTCACCTGAAATGATATATTGACTCATGATTTCAAGCAATGTGGACCTAAAAATCAAAAGCATAATACAATTCCTCCCCAGCCAGAGAGTTTGACATTTTTCCCAAGGTCCAGGCACAGGAGTATAAAAGCAAAAAGCCTCAAACATCATCAGTCACTTAACTAGTGGTTGGACTAGGGAGGAGATTGCTTAATAAGCAGCATGCATCCACATGTAATGGTAAAGTAGGATATTTTTGTAAAAGCTGATGATTTCTTATTAAATAAAATTAGCAATGCAAAACAAAATTCAACCAAAGCTAGAGAACAGTACATTTGCAGACAATCACAGATTATTAATGTTGGTTCTTATGTGAGGTACATGTTGAAAAACTGGTTGGGGAGGGAACTTAAAAGTAAGTGTGATCACAGGTGTTGACCCCACTGAAATTCCACTAAAATGGAATGAGGGAACCTCAAACTATCAGAAATATAGAGGATTTTCTTCCAGATACAGTGCTGAAAGAGACACAGTGCTTGATAATCTACATCCTGAGAGAAGGCAACTTGATCAGTAAGTAAGGAAGCCCTAGCCAAACCCAATTTCTGTCCCACATTTTAAAGGGGATGGAGTCTTTTGGAGGCACACCATTTCTTTTCCCACATAAGGTTTAATTTCAGGACTGTCCCTTTAGGGAACTTATTCCTTTGGTTCTTTTTCCCTTTCTCTTCTGTATCTTTATTTTTTTTTTCCCTTTATACTGACTCACTCACATGAATATTTAAATGTGCTTAAATTTCTCCCATCTTTGAAAAAACCTTGGGCCAAACATTTACCTCCACCCACTGCTAGTTATTTTGCCCTTCATCAGCCAAACTTCTCAAAAGGGTTCTCCAAATTTCATCTCCATTTCAAAAGCCATTCACAACTCAACTCCACTAAAACTTCTGAGTCAACTGCTTTGTTGCTAAATTTTATGTTAGATGTGGTTTTTTCATTATTTTTAACACTTAAAATTTACCACTTTTTGGGCACATGGGTGGCCCAGTTAAGTGTCCAACTTCTGCTCAGGTCATGATCTTGTGGTTCGTGGGTTTGAACCCTGTATCTGACTGTGCTGACAACGAAGAGACGAGCCTGCTTCCGACTCTCTCTCTCTGCCCCTTTCCTGTTCTCTCTCTCTCTCACACTCTCTCTCTCTTTCTCTCTCTCTCTCTCTCAAAAATAAACATTAAAAAATTTGTGATTTACCACTTTGTCCTTAAAAAGCAGCCTTCTTTTAAACTTCTCTGACATCACACTCACCCAGGTTTCATTCTGTTTCTCTGGCCACTCCATAATCTCCTTTTGGTGACTTGTGTTAGTCACCTCTGGCTGTTTCCAGTCCCTTTTCTGTCTTGAGCCTGCACCAGGTGACTTCATGCACTCTTATGGCTTCAACTGAACCTCTATATTCTGATGATTTATTTTTCTGTAGTTCCAGGCTAGATCTCTCTTTTGAGCTTCAGATACACATCTAGTTGGCATCTCCTCCTGTGTGTTCAAAATGGCACCTCAAATTATCATGTCCATATCCGAACATCATCTTTCTCCAGAATTTATTATACATGCCTTATCTTAGCAAATGGTGCTACCATCTATCTACCCAGTTTCACAAACCAGAAACCTGGATGTCATTCTTGAATCTTCTAGTTCTGTCATCCACTGTATCCAAAATCATCAAGTTTTTCCAGTTGTAGCTACTATTTCTCATATTCAGCCACTTTCCACTTTACTTACTGATACCATTCTAGTAAATGCCACTGTAATTTCCAATCTAGATTATTTTACCAGCCTCCTATTATATTCCCCCTCTAGTCAGTGTTCTCTGAATACTCAAATCTGATTCTCTCCCATTCTTAAAACCCTTCAAAGATTCCCTATTGCCTTTGCCTATTGCCTTTGCCTATAACCATAGATTATGAACCTATTCTAGCCTCACTAGCCTCTCCCTGTCTCTTGCCCTTGCACATTCAGTGTCCTCTGCCTGGACAATCTCTTTCATCTCTCCCCACAAATGTCACCCCATTTCTCCTGGCTAATTTCTACTCATTTTTACGGTCTTGTTTGGACATTATTTCCTCTTGGAAACTTCTTGCCAACCCTAGCTCTCAAAAACAGTTGGGGACCTGTCTCACATGCCCTCACAATATCTCGTTCTTCCCCTATCAATGCACTTTTCACACCATTTACTTGTTTATATCCCTCACTGGACCGCAAGCAGCTCAAGGGCAGACTTGTGTCTTTTTCACAGATCAATCCTCTGCTATATAGGTGTGCAATAAATGTGTGAAAGTTGTATTAATCATGCCTTTTCATTTCTTTTTTGATGTTTTGCCATCTGGGCCCTTGCTGAGACTGCTCTTCTCAGGGCTAACTGTTCCTGAGAGAGACAGCAAGCGTCTCTCCTTCTAGCCAAGAAAAGCCCAAACACTCCAACCACCTTCTTTATCAAACTCTCACAAGCAAAGACAATATTGCCCTGCCCCAATTACCCCAGAGCCAGGTACGAAACAACTCTGGATAGCCCCTACATCTCAAAGTGGGCTGAAATTTTTCTAACCAATCTTAAACTTAGCCAATTTACCACGTCTCTGGTATTCCTGCCTGCAAAAAACACATTAAAGGCTCTCACCCATGCTTTGCCCTTTGTTCCTTCTGGCTCCTGCCCCAACCTAGTGCTTCCCTTTGTTGACTCAAATTTTGCATATGCTGTGTTTAGAATTGGTTAGATATAAAATGCTGTATGCATGTGGCAGGGCGCCTGGGTGGTTCAGTCAGCTAAGCCTCAGACTCTTAATTTCTGCTCCGGTCATGATCTTACAGTTTGTTAAATGGAGCCCCGAATCTGGCTCCACACACTGCTGAGCTTGCTTGGTATTCTCTCTCTACCCCTCCCCTGCTCATGGCTCTCTTCTCTCAAAATAAATACTTTTAAAAAATGTTTTATGCATGTGGACAAGAACTGGGAAGAAATATGGTGGGGGCTTGGGCGAAGGGGGGGGGGGAAGGGAGAGGAATGAGAACTGTATTGGGTTGTAGGGTAGTCAGCTTTACCAGGCCTTTCCATGGTATCTAGCACATTGTAATGCCCATAGTGGACACAGAAGATGGGAAAGCCACTGGGAAAGTGGGGCTGAAGGAAAGGAGAGGACCGTCTCTTCTCGCCAAAATCTTGTTACCAAGAGGCAGGGCTTTGGGTTTTGTTGTTTCACTACTCAATACCGTTTGCCAAATAACCAAACAAACATATTCGGCAAGAAGGTATTTTATTCAGTGGCCAGAGAATAGAGAAGGGGAGCTCACGCTCTAAAGTCACCTTTTCCCCATTAGGGCTGACGGTCAGTGTTTTATGGGGTTGTTGTAATTAAAGGGCTGGTTAAGCAAGCTGACCTCAGGGTTTTGGGTGGAAGGGAGACGAGTCTTCTCAGAATCAGAGTGCCAACACTTTCTTCCCTAAAATGGTGCCTTTGGATCTATCAAGGCACTGATAGGTGTGCTTTCTGTTATTATAATTAAATAGATGGTAATGATCCCGAAGCCATCTGGAGGGTTCGCACCGCATCCGGCTGCACTGAATCAAGCCGGTGGGTGGGTCACAGGAGGGGATTGTTTGTGGAGTTCATGGCTCCCGGCATCTGGCCTTACTTTCTGGTGGCGAGCAGCGCCTGTAAGCGGGGCTCAAGAACTGGGCTTGTTTGGAGCCTCTTGGCAAGTCCCTAGGGACAACCTCTTGGCTCAGGAGCCGTGGAATCCGTGCAGCCTGACTTCTTTAGAAGCCGGAACCTTCCAGAGGGTCTTTTCTACTTTTTCCAGTCGGCGGTGAAGGATCAGCACCCGGCCCTCCCGGAAGTTGTTGTGCAATCGTTTCCGGGGCAGCGTGAGGCGGAGGAAGAGTCCCAATGGGTCGCAGCCGCAGCCGCTCCCCACGGAGGGGTGAGTCCAGAAGGAATTGGGCAGGTCTGGGGCTTGGTCGGAGACGTGTCCTCTCTCCTGTTTCCTCCCCGCCCCCCGAAGTACGAACGCAGCGGAGAGATGGGCCCTTTGCTCCTGAGAAGAGTGAGGGTGGATAGGAAAACGAAGACCTGAACCTTATACTCTTCAGCCCTCCGGTTTGAATGCAGTTCCTCCCCCACCCTCTAAGTTAGAGTTTCGTGGACACCTTGCCAGTCTCCTACAATAACTTGTGACATTTGTGACTGAGGGATTTGAATCAGATCACGATTCCCTTAATTTCTGGGTGGCTTCGTGCAAGTCATCCAACCTGTGTCCGAATTCCCGTAATTGGACATTGGGGGTAATACTACCCATCTTTAAAACCTGACTTGAGAATTAATGTCATATTCCATACCACTCAGCATGTGATAATGCCTGGTTCTTGCATGCTTAATGTTAGTTTCCTTACCAGTTTATATAATAGGAAAATCGATATTTAGGATTTTGTGGCCAAGGAGCTCACCTCCTAATATCTTCTGGCGCCCACACCCATAAATGACGCAGTGGGATGTAAAAACCCAGGACTTCGATCCGTAGATCTAACTTAAACCCTTGAATTCTCCCCTTTCTGGTTAGTTTTATCACCTTCAACTAGTCAAGACTTGATTTTTTAAAAAGTTAATGAGGCCTCCAACCACGTATTTGAGCACTTAAAATGTGCGCGATCCGAATTAAGAAGTGCTTTGAAGTGTAGAATACACTCCCAATTTCCTATTTAATACAAAAATAAATATAATACCTCAGTTTTTAATATTGAGTACATGTCGAAATGATCATATTGGGATATATTCGGTAAAATAACAATGTTAAAATTAATTCTACCTGGTTTTTATTATCATTATTATTATTATTAGTTAGAAATAGCCGGCATTATATTTCTGTTGGACAGCACAACTCTAGGTATATGAAGTAATATTTTGACTCTGCAAAAAGACTTTGTGTGGTTTGTATTAGAGCGCAGGCGGTCCCGGTCCACATCTCGTGAGAGAGAACGCAGGCGCCGAGAACGGTCCCGGTCCCGGGAGAGAGATCGTCGAAGGAGTCGATCTCGATCCCCGCACAGAAGACGCTCCAGGTGAATGCAGAAAATAACCAGAAGTTTTACCACAAGTCCCAAAGAAACTAGTCGCTGCCCTCAATTTTGTTTTTATCACTAATAAGGGATTTACAGTTTCATGAAATGAGAGGAACTTAAGCCCACTTATTTTATTTTTTTAATTTTTATTTATTTCTAGGAGAGAGAGAGACAGCGTGAGCAGGGGAGGGTCAGAGAGAGAGGGAGTCACAGACTCTGAAACAGGCTCCAGGCTCTGAGCTGGCAGTCAGCACAGAGCCCGACGCGGGGCTCGAACCCACGAACCGCGAGATCATGACCCAAGCGAAAGTCGGACGCTTAACCGACTAAGCCACCCAGGTGCCCCTAAGCCCACTTATTTTAAACCCAACATTTCCATTGGTAAAATTGGGTTAATAACACCCTGACCTAGAGTTGCATTAAGGAGTTTATGAGAGGGGCGCCTGGGTTGCTCAGTCGGTTTAACGTCCAACTTCGGCTCAGGTCATGATCTCACGGTTCGTGGGTACCAGCCCCATGTCGGGCTCTGTGCTGACAGCTAGCTCAGAGCCTGGAGCCTGCTTCCGATTCTGTGTCTCCCTCTCTCTCTGACCCTCCCCTGCTCACGCTGTCTGTCTGTCTGTCTCTCTCTCTCTCTCTCTCTCTCTCAGAAATAAACGTTAAAAAAAATTTTTTTTTAAGGCATAAATGAGAAATAGTACATGAAAGACACTAGCATCAGGCTTGGCAGGAGTAATGACGAAATGTGTATATTGTATTTTGGGGGTTTTCTTTCTTAATTTTTTTTAAGTAATCTGTACACCCAACTGAGGTTTGACCTCATAACCCTGAGGTAAAGAGTCACATCCTCCACTGACTGGGCCAGCCAGGGGCCCCTGTTTTGTTTTACTGGTTTTTGGGTGTTAAGAGTTTATTTAAGTATATAACTAGGAATGTGAGATCTTCAAAAAACCTTGGAAATTGACTCTTGATTCTTAGTGTCAGTTGCTGTTTCAGTCAACTTTTTGTGTGTTTGTAATTGTTAGAAACTTAGTTACATTTTTCTGCCTTAAAAAATTTTGTTCAGCCCTCACTGATGATTAAAGCAGTAAACTATATTTTTGGGGTTTGGTTAACAATCACAGGGCCTAGGCAGAACCTTCTTCCTTATTCTGCTATGGGGAATGGACTCCTCATTCTCTGGAGCCTGACTTTTGTTCAGCCTTTACCTTTTAGGAGCTCGTGTATATATCATTGCCAATCAACACAAGTCACCAGGTATATCTCTGCTTCTGACGCCTTTACTTATTCAATATTAGATCCCCAAGACGGCATAGATCCACATCTCCTTCCCCTTCTCGACTGAAAGAAAGAAGAGATGAGGAAAAGAAAGAAACAAAAGAAACAAAGAGCAAAGAACGTCAGATTACTGGTAATGTTACTAGATTAACTGTAGGAAAAGTACAGCCTTGTTTAGAGAACTTTAGTCATAAAATTATAAAAGTATAATTTGGGCACATTTTAATATTAATTTTTATACTGTACATTGCATATGGTTTTGAGCTTTTGTTATCATTTGTACCTTAGTGAGTTCGTAGTTATCAGTGGTACTCCTGAGATAGGAAGGACAGTTAAGACATGAGAATATTCTGTTTTGGAAGTACCTTTAAATCTAGTGTCATCTCTGATATTAAAAATGGTCCTGCCTAAAGACTCTAAGCATGTCCTTTTAAGCAGCCTCTCTGGTGGAGGATGGAGAGCATATTCCTTCCTAGCATCTTAAGTTATATTGTGTCCAAACTGAGGAGGAATTTTTTTCCATTAGACCCAAATCTTTAGCTAATTGTTTTGTGTGTTTTCTGCTGCTGAGGTGGAATGACTATTAACCTGTTGCTCCTAAGTCAAAATGGCATAAAGCAAAGAGTACCCCTTACCTTCTGAAAGTTTGTGATATGTCCCTTTGCTTTTAAGACCTACATTAGTACAGTAATTGCTTTCTTCTTAAAAGTAGAAATCCTCTTCAGATGTCTTATGGCTAGCAAAAATAAGTACTAATGTAGGTCTTTCGTAAAAGCGAAGTGGTGTACCACAAGCGGGAAGGCGGGATACCTGTATAGAAGATGATAGAGTTTAAAAAAATATTTTTCTGTTATTTTTACAGAGGAGGACTTAGAGGGCAAAACAGAGGAAGAAATCGAAATGATGAAGTTAATGGGATTTGCCTCTTTTGACTCCACAAAAGTAAGTAAAACATGCAGCCAGTTAAACATTCTGATATGAATTAATCCATTATGATCATCACATTTTCCTATATTCTTATGCTGTCACTTGTAATGTCTTCCATTGATATGAGTCTTTTCTTTAGAAGACATTAAATATCTGTGTGAAGGGCATTGAGGGCACAAAGAAGGAAGCAGTGAACTGCCATTTCAGATTCAGTGACTGGTAAAAGGATGCTAATGGGATAGTGGCTAGTGGCTATGAATGAAGCTAGAAAGAGGGATTGGGGGGCACCTGGGTGGTTTAGTTGATTAAGTGTCTGACTTCAGTTCCGGTCATGATCTCACAGTGTGTGCATTCAAACCACACATAGAGCTTTCTGCTGTCAGTCAGCATAGAGCCCATTTAGAATCCTCTGTCTTCTTCTCTCTGCCCCTCCCTTGCTTGTTTGCTTGCTCACTCTCTCGATCTTAAAAATAAACATTAAAAAATACCTTTAAAAATGAGGGATAGGAAGCAAATTGTGGAAGGCTTTTGATACTCTTAGCCATGCTAAGGAATTTAGAGTTGATTCTTTAGGTGTTGAGGAGAGGAAGCAATGATTTTTAGGCGGGATTATATGTGTGTTTATTTTTTTTTTTATTATTTTTTAAAAATATTTATTTTTGAGAGAGAGAGACAGAGCATGAGCTGGGGAGGGCCAGAGAGAAAGGGAGACAGAATCTGAAGCAGGTTCCAGGCTCTGAGCTGTCAGCATAAGCCCAACGCGGGGCTCAGACCCATAAACGGTGAGATGACCTGAGCCAAAGTCGGACATCAACCAACTGAGCCACCCAGGCGTCTCTATATGTGTGGTTAGAAAGATGAGCCAAGAGGGGCACCTGGGTGGCTCAGTCGGTTATAAGCATCCAACTCTTAATCTCAGAGTCATGAGCTGAAGACCTGCGTTGGGCTCTGAGCTGGGTGTGAAGCCTACTTTGAAAAAAAGGGGGGGGCGGGGGTGGGGGGAGAAAAGAAAGATGAGCCAAAACAACACGGAGGACAAACGAGAGGCAGCTGGGTTAGACTGGCGGCAGGGAGAACGCTGGTCTTGCAAGTGAAAGATGATGGAGGCGGGAACTGAGGCCAGAATATTGAGGCCCAGTCAGGAGCCAGAAGAGTAGGTGGTGGGAGTAGTGGGAGTGGTAGTGAGTAGTCCATGATGATTCTGAAGGGACAGGCTGAAAGCCTGGGGGATAGGGTTAGCCAAGAAGGGTCCTAGGAAGGGGAAGTGCTATTAAGAATTAAATTCAGCTGTAGAGAAAGATGCCATTGGGTAGCTGCATGCATATCTCCTACCTCGGAAGAGAGGAAGATAGAGAGTGAATGCTATCTAGCCTGATGATAATACTGGAGAGAATAAGGAAGTGAGAGAGGAAAGAGAAGAAGATGAAGAGAGGGATTATAGGGAGGGAGAGGGGAAATGGAGAGAGGATATGGAAAGGAGAGAAGGGATAGAGAGAGAGGGAGCTAGTAAGAATAAACAGGGAGAGGGCTGCCTGGGTGGCTCAGTCGGTTAAGTGTCTGACTCTGGATTTCGGCTCAGGTCATGAGCTCACAATTGGTGAACCTGAGTCGGGTTCTGCACTGACATCATGGAACCTGCGTGGGATTCTCTCTCTCCTCTTTCTCTGTCCCTCCTCCATGCTCTCTCTCAAAATAAATAAATAAACTTAAAAAAAAAAAAAAGTGTAGTCTGTGCTGAAGATGTTTATTTATAAAGGAGAAAATAGGTGGAGCATTTGGGTGGCTCAGTCAGTTAAGCGTCCAACTTCGACTCAGGTCATGATCTCACTGTTCATGGGTCCGAGCCCCACACTGGGCTCTGTGCTGACAGCTCAGAACCTGGATCCTGCTTTGGATTCTGTATCTCCTTCTCTCTCTGCCCCTCTGCTTGCACTCTGTCTCTCTCTTTCTCTCAAAAATAAGCATAGAAAAAATTCTTTTTAAAGGAGAAATAGGTAAGAATTCATAGATGCCATAAAAATTAAGGAGTACCATGAGGACAGATGACATCAGTTGTTCTTTTAAGGACATCTACAAGGATGTTAATTTAGTTTGTATGCAGTTGCCTTTATGGCTGTCCGTTATAAAGTCCACTCATTTGTGTTTTCAGTAATGTGTTACCTTGTGACCTTTCATCATTGGTCTATGGTGGCACCTTTTCATATGCCAACGTGTTCACTTATTTTCTCTTCTATTTTCACATTCTAGAAAGGTTCAAAATTTGGTTATGTTTTTTAATGGATAATTTTCTATTTCAGCATGTAAATGAAAACAGGCTAATAATATACAACTCTGTAAATTGTTTTCAAAAAATCAGTAAGCCTTTAGGAATTGAACTTAATAAATAGGTTAACATCAACCAGTCTTTCTGAGTCATGCCTATTTCCTATTCTTGGGAAGGAAAAATTATACATCTCAAGTAATTTGTTCCCTCCCCTCTCCTCCCACAATATAGTGAAAACAGGAATAGAAAAGTAAGACCAAATATATTCATTTTTAGCTCCACTTCAAATATGTATCTTACCTCTGTGGGCCTTTTGGCTAATGGATAAGAATCCTGTTTGTTTGGTTTTTTTTAACCCTAACCCAGATATCTAGTAAGTGTGCTACACAGAAAGGGTATACTCCCATGAGCAATAATGGGGACAGAGGGAGTTGGAGGTCACATGTATCTATGTGTGCATGTATGTGTGTGTGAGAAATGGCATTAACCAGTGATGTTCATATATTTAATAGTCATTGTCTGAGCACTTGCCAGTACAGTGGCCTAGGATGTGAGAATGCAAACGTGACCCACATCCATATCCCTCCATCAAAAAGCTTTCAGTCTCATAAGGGAAGTAACGTCATGTATATATGCATCACGGAGGGTATTGTGAGAGGAACACAGCTAACATTCTCCGTGAAAGGGTAGAGTGCACTTTCTGGCAGCTGAATCATTTGAATTTGGCCTTGAATGATGGATAAGAACCAGATGGTTGGAGTTCTTGGATGGGTGTTGAGAAGGCAATTCAGGCATGAGGAACAGCAAATGTAAGTTAACTTGGCTAAATCAAAAGACCTATAAAGGAATTATTGAAAAAGATGGTAGAGTGCTCGCTTCGGCAGCACATATACTAAAATTGGAACGATACAGAGAAGATTAGCATGGCCCCTGCGCAAGGATGACACGCAAATTCGTGAAGCGTTCCATATTTTTACTGAGGACTGATGGATGTGGGGGGGAGAGGGGGATGGGCATGGAGGAGGGCACTTTGGGGATGAGCACTGAGTGTTATGTAGAAACTAATTTGACAATAAACTATTTGTAAAAAAAAAAAAAAAAAAGAAAAAGATGGTAGATGCCACATAATAAAGGCCAAGATATAAGTGCCACTTAACAGTAGCATCTGTTATTCTGTATTCTGATCCTTTTTATTTTTTGTTTATGTTTATTTTTTTAATGTTTTATTTACCTTTTTTATTGTTTTTTTAATGTTTTACTTATTTCTGAGAGAGAGAGAGAGAAACAGAGTGAGCAGGGGGGAGAGAGAGACACACAGAATCCGAAGCAGACTCCAGGCTCTGAGCTAGCCATCAGCACAGAGGCTGACATGGGACTCGAACCCATGAACCATGAGATCAGGACCTGAGCTGAAGTTGGACGTGTAACCGACTGAGTCACCCAGGCGCCCCTATTAATGTTTATTTTTTAAAAAGTTGTTTAATGTTTATTGTTGAGAGAGCATGAGTTGCGTGGGGGCAGAGAGAGAGGGGGCAGACACACACACACACACAGAATCCAAAGCAGGCTCCAGGCTCTGAATTGTCAACACAGAACCTGACATGGGGCTCGAATCTTGGGAATGGTGAGATCATGACCTGAGCCAAAGTCAGATGATTACCCAACTGAGCCCATCCAGCCCCACCCCCCCTGATTCTTTTTAAAAATCAAAATTTGGGGGCACCTGTGTGATTCAGTTAGTTGAGCATCTGACTCTTGATTTTGGCTGAGGTCATGATCTTGCTGTTCATGAGTTTGAGCCCCACGTCGGGCTCTGTGCTGATGGCATGGAGCGGGCCTGAGATTCTCTGTCTCCCTCTCTGCCCCTCCCCTGCTCACACTTTCTCTATCTCAAAAATAAAAATAAATTTAAAAAACTTTTAAAAAATAGCAAAATTCCAAGGTTATGCAAGAAATGGGATCTCAATGAATGATGACTGTTCCAGCTGTAATTTGAGAATGCTATGAGCTAAGGTCATAAGTTATATTTTATGTGAATGTGAATTTTTCTAGAGAAAATCTATAACTGGTATTTGGTTTCAAAGAATTCTTTGACCAAAAAGGTTAGGATCGGGGACACCTGGGTTGTTCAGTCAGTTAAACATCTGACTCTTGATTTCTGCTCAGGTCCTGATTTCCTGGTTCTGGCTGACAGTGTGGAGCCTTCTTGGGATATTCTCTCTCTCTCTCTCTCTCTCTCTCTCTCTCTCTCTCTCTCTCTCTTTCCCCTGCCCCCACCTCCCTCCCTGGCCCTCTCCCTCTGTCTTCCCTCCCCGTTTCCTCTGACCCTTTCCCACTTATTCACTCTCTTTCAAAAATAAATAAATATTAGGACTCAGTTAAGCGTCCGACTTCAGCTTAGGTCATGGTCTTGCAGCTTGTGAGTTCAAGCCCCACGTCGGACTCTGCTGACAGCTCAGAGCCTGGAGCCTGCTGCAGATTGTGTTTCCCTCTCTGTCTTTGCCCCTTCCCTGCTCACGAGTGCTTTCCCTCTCTCTCTCTCTCTCTCTCAAAAATAAAATTAAACATTAAAAAAAAAAAGATTAGGACCTGTTACCCTATTTCTCTGCATGCCTTGCACATAATATATATATACCATGAATGTTTGTTGGCTTGAATATTTGGATATGTTGCATTATGTGTAACTATAAAATTGTGAACAGAGTTGTAACACTTGAGAGTTCATGCAATATTATCAGGATTTGAAAATTCTCTCACTGGGCTACCTTATTCATAAATGGATTTTGCCATGTAAGCATATCTATAGGTCCCAGCTCTTTGATCGAAGCACTTAACATATCCTTCCCGTTTTTTATGTTTATTTATTGCTTTTCTCCAGGGGAAAAAGGTGGATGGCTCTGTAAATGCCTATGCCATAAATGTGTCTCAGAAGAGGAAGTACAGGTAAGCTTAGCCCCCATTATTATGTTTGAACTAATGATACAAATCATGTGTTTGGGAAAGAATTTATTTATGGGAGAATCATGTTTGTAGGAAATGTAGCAGTTTCCATGTAGTCCTTTTTTTTTTTTTTTAATTTTTAAAAATGTTTTATTTCTGAGAGAGAGAGAGAGACCGCGTGAGCAGGGGAGGGTCAGAGAGAGAGGGAGACACAGAATCTGAAACAGGCTCCAGGCTCTGAGCTAGCTGTCCGCACAGAGCCCGTCGAGGGGCTCAAACCCATGAACCATGACATGACCTGAGCCGAAGTCGGACTCTTAACCGACAGAGCCACCCAGGCGCCCCTACCATGTAGTCCTTTGTTTTAATATTCTTTGCTTCTATTCTGATGTGTCAAAATAATTTCCAATTTTTAAGTCAACTAATAACTATTATGGAGAAGGATAGTTGGGTTAAATGTTTTAAAGCTCTACATAGTTCTTCAAAACAGCATAATCTCAAGTCTTCAGGCTTTAATTTCATTATAATTATAGATTTAAAATAGATCCATCCTGAGTTATTTACCAAGATTGATTGTGTAAGGATTTCAACTGTAAATATATTTTTCTGTTAAGTATAGACATATTTTATTAGTATCACAGAACAAACCACCAATCCATATGTGAAATCTTACTGAATTCCCAATGAATTGAAAAGTTAAGACATCATCAAACATTGCCTTTCTCTCTGCCTTTACCACAGATAAAAGACTGATGTTCTGATTAATTTAGAATATGAATAATGTGGTCTGAGGATGCTGTGAGTTAAAGTGATGACCAGAATCCTCATCAATGGTCCTTTGTAAAATTATCTTCAAATAGAGTCTTATGAGGAGAACTAATACAATATGCAATTGGATTTACTTGATGGGTACCTATTTTTGAGCTCCTTCATTTCCTAAAACCAGGGGCTTAGTGTTACCTACAAATACAGATTTTTTAAGTCTGTAGAATCTTTCCAAATAATTTGAAAGTATTTTTCCATACTTATATTTTGATTTTAAAGAAACCTGAAAGGCTTTAGATTATTTTGAAAGTGAAATAATATCCTTAATTTGAATTAAATAACTATGAATACTTTTTATCCTAGATTTTGCCATTTTGTAGATGATTTATATTATTATTTTTTATTAGAGGAGTCCAGAATTTTTTTTTAATAAACAATGAGTTTTCTCTTCTCATCATAGGCAGTATATGAATCGAAAAGGCGGATTCAACAGACCTTTGGATTTCATTGCATGAGAACTAAAATGTTAAAGAATGATGTTTTTTCTTCATCTTGCTCAGAAGAGTGGATTTTGTATTTCATATTTAATATTCATAAAAAGCAGGATCATAGTCCTTCCTCCTTATAAAAGTAAGACTATGTTATTTATGATATGTGCATTTCACTTACCCTGACTCAAAAAAAGGAAGGTTAATACTTTTTTCTTTTAGGAAATGTCAGTTGGGGCAATCGGCAACCCCAAGTCTTTGTTCTTATTGTCGTGGGCGCCGTATATGTTTTCTTCTTGGATACCTGTTAGGACTTTTTAAAACAACGTAAAAGTAATTTGGATGTAAGTTTGTCAAATAAAGCAATATTTCTACCCTTTTGTATTTGATAAACATTTTTATTACTAAATAAAATTATCTCCCTACACATTTTTTTCCTACATAGACTTAGATTTCATTAGTAATTTACAAATAAATAGATTTTTTCTATCTTCTATGATTTTTTTCCTCAACTGCTATTTACCCCATTTATTATCTTGCCTCCAATTTTCATTTCCCTCACTTATTTTTTCTCCTTTTCAAAGGCAGTTCGTGCTTATTATATAAGAATTTGTAATGGGGCGCCTGGGTGGCTTAGTCGATTAAGCGTCCGACTTTCGCTTGGGTCATGATCTCGCGGTTCGTGGGTTCGAGCCCCGCGTCGGGCTCTGTGCTGACAGCCAGCTCGGAGCCTGGAGCCTGTTTCAGTCTGTGACTCCCTCTCTCTCTGACCCTCCCCCTGCTCACGCTGTCTCTCTCTCTCCTAGAAATAAATAAAACATAAAAAAAAAAAAAAAAAAAAAAGAATTTGTAAGAAACCAGAAACTAAACAAAAACCGCCTCTAATCTACCCCCAGAAACCATCAGTATTCTGGTGTATGTCTTTCTAGCCTCTCTGGTGTGTATTTATTGATACCACCTATGATATTAGAATTCATATACTCTTCTCTTTGCTAATCTTTTTTCTCACATGTACTGTGAACATTTTTTTTAATATTCTTAGATGTTCTTTAGAAACTTTTAGTAGCTACTTGGTTTTACCATAATTTATTAACCTTTTATTAGCAAACGTTGGCTTCCCTCCCATGATCTGCTGTTTTAATTAAAACTGAGTAGTATCCCTGTCACATATATCTTTTTGTGCTTGTTACATTGTTTCCTCAGGTTCATTTCTGAGACGTGGCTCTGCTGAATGAGATACGGGTGTGTGTGGGGGGTGTGTGCATATGTTTTAAGACTTTTGATAAATGTGTAAAATGCTCTCACCAGTAAAATATGAGCATTCCCATTTCATATATGTGTACCAATATTGGGTGTAATTTTTTTTTAATTTCCAATCTGGTGAGTAAAATAATTGGTTTAATTTGCTCAGTTTCTAAGGATGAACATTTAAAAAATGTGTGGCCATATATATTTTTTGGTGGAATGCTAATTCCAAAACCTGGATCCACTTGTCTTTTGGCAAGCCTTTCTTTTTCTTATCTGAAGGAAGCTGTTTTTATATTGGAGCTAACAGCCACTCCTCATTCTGTTTCATATCTTGCTGATATTTGAGGCTCTGTGGTTAGATTTTATTTTACTTTATTTTGAATAAATACAAACACATGGAACACAATTCAGATAGAACAAAGGGTATATAGTGATGAGCTAATTGTGTATCCTCTCAGAGATAGTCTGTATATACACAAACATATGTGTATATATCTTATTCAAATGTAAGCAAACTCTACACACTTTTGCATCTTGCCTTTTTTTACTTGCTAGTACATCTTAATATAGTTTCTTATCAGGAATATAATACCACCTCTTCTCATTAAGGGCAGGAGATCTAGTTCATTATAGGATGCACTATAATTTAATAGTCCCCACTGATATGGGCATTTTTTTTTTAATCTTTTACTATTTTTTCTAAGTTTATTTATTTTGAGAGAGAGACAAAGAGCACAAGCAAGAGAGGGAGAGAGAATCCCAAGCAGGCTCCACACTGTCAGCACAGAGCCTGACATGAGGCTTGAACTCACGAACTGTGACATCATGACCTGAGCTGAAATTAAGAGTCAGCTCAGTAGAACTACAGTTGGTGGTCAAATTTCAGATGCAATAAGGATTTAAAAATCCAGCTAAAAAGTCTTGTAAAATCATATGAGTAACATGTAAAATCATTCATTTACATATGATAGTGATTATAGAATTAAAATAATGTTTATTGAGAATTTTTAAAAATAGTAAAAGGGGGCACCTGGGTGGCTCAGTTGGTTAAGCCAACTGAACTCAGCTCAGGTCACGATTGCATGGTTTGTGGGTTGAAGCCTCGTGTCGGGCTCTATGCTGACAGCTCAGAGCCTGGAGCCTGCTTCAGATTCTGTATCTCCTTCTCTCTCTCTCCCCCTCCCCTATTTGTGCTCTTTTTCAAAAATTAAACATTAAAAATTTTTTTTTAAAAAATGTATTATGACTACATTGCATAATACAGTGTAGAAAGCACCTTTGTTTATATAATCCTTATAAGATAGAGCAGGTACCATTATCTGTATTTCCCAGATGAGAAAGCTGAGGCTTTCAGACCATGTATTCAGACTATAAAAGCAGAAAGTATTGGCACTTCTACTACATAATGCCTTCAGTGCTTAAATATTGGATGTGTTACAGTAGTTGCACAACTTTTAGTACCCATTGCACAAGTGTCACTGTCCCAGGTGGTTAGATTATTTTGCTTGGAATTTTTGCCAACTGAGCTAAAGAATTACTATCGTACCCCTACTTACCAAAAAGCCATGTATCTCTGAATTATCCATGATTAAGAAGGTTTCTGACCACGTTTGTACACACTTAAGGAAGGAAAACCCAATTGTGGTTTTAATAAGGAAGCTAAAACTTCTGAGATAAAATAATATACCCAAAACTAAATTACAAGTTTTTGGATTCTCATGTTAGTGTGGTGTTAATAGGGATTTGACTTGAGATCCTCAAAGCAGCACTCTTTGTAAAGTATGTGAGGGGCACATGGGTGGTTCAGTTGGTTAAATATTTGAACTCGGCTCAAGTCATGATCTTGCAGTTTGTGAGTTCAAGCCCCACATTGGGCTGCCTGCTGTCAGCACAGAGCCTGCTTCAGATCCTTGGTCTCCCTCTCTCTGCCCCTACCCCACTCACATGTGCACTCTCAAAAATAAATAAACCTTTTTTTTTAATTAAAAAAAAAAAAAGAATGTGAGAATACCCAGTAGGTCAATAGGGGTGTTCTCCATAAGCTAACACCAAGAAATGGAAAAGGAGGACATCTTTGAACATCCAGAGAGAAGACGCCTGTGATCCTAAGGGACGCCCTGGTTTGAAGGAACTTTTATCCATCAGATCATCTGATTCTGTAAGAATAAGAAATAAGGAGCATCTTTGTCTTCCTGTGACAGGGTGCTACCTCTCTGAAACATAAATTGTGCCACATCTTCTATTTCTAAGTATCTAAATATTGGAATTCTCTGGGACTCGATTCCTGGACTCTGCTCCGGGACTCCATTCTCTCCCTTAGGGAGTCTTCAATATGGCTTCAAATGCCTTCCGCCATGGCTCTCAAATTTTTACTTCCAGCCTGGCCATTTTACTGAATTATAGGCTTGTATGTGCACCTAGATTATTAGATACCTCAAGGTTAAGGTTAACTGAATTCTCATTTCCCTGCCCAGCCTTCTCTGAGGCTTCCCCATGTCAGGAAATGGCCTGTCCATTCACTCAGACATTCCATTTGCTCAGACCAAAATCCTTAGCGTCATCTTTGACTCCTCTTTTTCCCGTGCCCTACATCTGGTTCATTAGCAAACTTTTTGGCTCTAATCTCAGTATATATTTTGAATCCAGCCACGTTTTTTCCCCCCTGATTTACTGAGGTATCACTGACATAAAATGTTAAGAAATGTAAGTATACATCACAATGATTTGATAGGCATTGAATCTGACGACTTACTACTTGTACCAACGTAAGCCGTCTCTCTTGCTTGGACTGCTACAATAGACTCCTAACAGGCCTGCCTTCTGCTACCACCTTAGCTTATTTTTATTCTCCACCCAGCAGCAAAAAATGAACCTTTTAAAAAGTGCATCAGGTCACATTGCTCCCGGCTCCAGTGGCTTTCTATCATTTAGAGTAAAGTCCAGTCCTTACTGTAGTGTACAAGCCTATACAGTCTGAACCCTAGCTTCCCACAGCCTCACCCCCTTGCTATTGCCCTTGGCCATGCTGTTAACCTTGCTGTTCCTTGAGTACAAGTGTGAGTCTACCTCAAGAGTCTGCACCTGCTCTTCCTCCTGAAATGTTCCTCTCTGCTCCCCCATCTTTACCCCAATTTGTATTTGTAGCTTCTTTAGGACTCTGCCCCAAATAAGGTCATTCCTGACCACCCCATCCAAAATAGCAACCCCCTTCCCTCTCTGCCTTTTTACTCATCACTCCAAAAAGAGACCCCACACCCAATTAACAGTCACTTTTCAGCACCTGACATTAAACAGGTCTGTTGATTCCTTTCTCAGGAGTTTTGAAACTAACTGAATGGAACAAATCCTGTCTCTCTAAGTGGCTATACTATAAACTCGAACTTGACCACCTTCACCCCCCACCCCAGAAGTCACTAATACACTGTCTCTAAAGATGTGCCTATTGTGGACATTTCATATAAATGGAATCACACAGTGCTCCATTTTATGGAGTGCCTTTTATATCTGTTGTTTTTTTTTTTTTTTCCTTAACAAGGTTTTCAAGGTTCATTCGTATTGTGTGTACTTCATTCCTGCTTATGGTCAAATATTCTGGGAATATACCAAATTTTTATAATTCATCAGCTGAAGAGCATTTGTGTTTCACTTTCTGGCTTTTATAAATAATGATGCTATGACCATTAGTATGTTTTTGTGTGAACATGTTTTCAGTTCTCTGGGGTGTGTCACTAAGAATGGAATTTCTGGGTCAGACACTGTTGGGCTCTTTGAGGCATGACACGGCAGCTGCACTATTTTCCGCTGCCAGCGGCATGTGCGAAGGTTCCAGTTTCCTCACATGCTCTGCCACGTTCCCTTTGCCTTAGAGCACTTCCCACTGCCTGACACAATGTGTTCACTTGTTACAGTCTGGTTCTGACACGGGACCCTGAGCTCTGAGCTCCAGGGCTTTTCTCTTGTTTGCTGCTGTCATCCCGGCACCACACGTGTCAGGTCCCTGGCACCCGGTGAATACTTGCTCAATCCGTGAAAATCAATCAGGAACCTTTTTTTTCTCTTAACCACTTCCTTAGATTTTTATGTTAACCCAAGTAATAAAAGGCCACATTTTTCCTAGAAAAAGTTCAAGTGATGACAAAGCAGAACTTTTAACAGTACCTGTAAGTCCGGGTCCTTTTGTTCAACCTACACTGTGATTCCTTTGCTGTGTATCCTTCCAGACCTTTGTCTATGTGCCTATCTATGTAACAGAGTTGCAAATAAGGAAGATACATAGTTTGGGCTTTTTTTTTTTTACATAAATAATATGCTGTAAGAACATTTTGCAGCTAATTTACTCAACAGCACCTTGGAGGTCTTCCTATGCCAATATATATCTCTACTCTTTTGTAACTGCTACAGTAGTGTTTTGTGTAATGTACCAGCACTGTTTAGCAATTGCCCTGTTTTTAAAGTCACAAATATATGTGGAGTGACTAATTTTTCGAACGCAGAATTTTACAGGCTTTTTTTTTTTTAATGTTTATTCATTTTTGAGAGACAGAGTACTAGCAGGGGAGGGGCAGAGAGAGGAGACACAGAATCTGAAGCAGGCTCCAGGCTCTGAGCTGTTGGCACAGAGCCCGATGCAGGGCTCGAACCCACGAACCATGAGATCATGACCTGAGCTGGAGTCAGATGATTCTGACTGAGCCACCCAGGCACCCCTAAAACAAAATTCATTTTATCGTCATAATGGTTAGGTGTCAAACTCAGTTACAAATAAAGTTTTCTAATTCTCACAATTTGGGAACTTTTTAGAGATTTCGGGATTATAATACAACAGTTGTCTTCCCTGCCACCCTGAGGTAGTCACTTGAAGAGGCAGCCCAGCACCACAATCCCCATAGCATTAAAAAAAAAAATTTTTTTTTTTTTTACATTTATTTATTTTAGGGAGACAGAGAGTGTGAGCAAGGTAGGGACAGACAGAGGAGACACAGAATCTGAAGCAGGCTCCAGGCTGTGAGCTGTCCGCACAGAGCCCTACACGGAGCTCCAACTCATGAACGGTGATAATCATGACCTAGGCTGAAGTCGGAGGCTCAACCGACTGAGCCACCCAGGTGCCCCCACCCCCCGCCAAGCATTTTTAATGGACCTGCCCTTGGCATTGGCATTTACATACTATCCTTTGCCTATCTGGAACATGAGCCCCTCAAAGGAAGTAGGCTGGGTCTTAGCCTTCTACAAGATGCAGTAAAGATTATCTAACAAGTATATTATTATACTGTGTTTTATGCTTCCTCATTTTCAACATTTTCTTCTGTGTTTTATGCTTCCTCATTTTCAACAGTTTCTTTTTCCTTCCCAGTTGTATTAGTTTATCTTGATGGCTGCTTGGAAATGTGAACTATTGTTGGACAGCCTATGCTTATGCATAATTTTTTTAATCTTTGAGATTAAATCTTTGAGAGAGCATGGGGGCAGGGGCGGGAGGGACAGAGAGAGAGAGGGACAGAGGATCTGAAGCCGGCTTTGTGGGCTCTGCGCAGGCAGCAGTGAGCCAGATGTGGGGCTTGACCTGAGCCGAAGTCAGACACTCAACCAACTGAGCCACCCAAGTGCCCCTATGCATAACTTTTTATTTAAAATTCTGGTCATAAAATGTATGTTCAAACGTTCTGGAATTCCCATGTTTTATTTGTGAGTTTGTGCCTCTTGGTTAATGCTTTTGTAATACCTCAGCTCTGGGTACTGAGTGGTCACCACTTATACTTTGTTTTAGGATTTTCACTTCTTTCTTCAAATTTATACTTTTGGGGCACCTGGGTGTCTCAGTTGAGCATCTGACTTCAGCCTAGGTCATGATCTCACAGTTTGTGAGTTTGAGTCCCACATCTAGCTCTGTGCTGACAGCTTATAACCTGGAGCCTGCTTCAGATTCTGTGTGTCTCTTTCTGCCCCTCCCCTGCTCACTCTCTGTCTCTCTGTTTCTGTCTTTCTCTCAAAAATAAACAAAAACAACAACAAATATTTGTACTTTTAGATTATCTTAACTGGGCATTGTTTACATTTATGTAAAATAATTTCTAGAAAAAGTCTTTGTTTTATATTTACTACTTGACTTCCAGTAGATGGCACTAAATCCCCTTGAAATTTATGACACTAATTCCTAATTCCTAGTCGGTGTTATTGACTAATGGATAATTTCTTCCACCATGGCCAGAGAACAGAAAAAGGGTCCATTCTTTCGTCTAATTCTGTGATTGTTATATAACTTTTTTGTTCATAGTTTAAGATAAACCTGGCGGTGGGCACCTGGCAGGCTCAGTTGGTAGAACATGCAAGTCTGAATCTCAGGGTTATAAATTCAAGCCCCACATTGGGTGTAGAGATTACTTAAGGATAAAATCTTAAAAAAAAAAAAAAAAAAAAGATAAACCTGTTGGCATTTATTAATTTACTATTTTGACTCAGATTTCAACTTTTCTTTTCTATATGTGGTTTTCAATCAGGTCAAGTCAAGGGGAAGGATCATGGTATTGAAATAAGACTGGGCTAAAGAGTTGAGGATAAAAGAGAAAAAATACAGAAACATGCTAAATATTCATGATAAAATCACATAGAAAATATAAAAGTATTCAAAATCCAAATTTAAGATAATGAAATCAAAGTGTTTTACTGTTGTGAGTTTTGGTACTTTAGTGGAATTGTATTCATTTCATTATGGTTTTCAAATTTGTTTTTATAAATAATTTGCAGTTAAAAACTACTCATTAAGGGGCTCCTGGGTGGCTTGTTGGTTAAGCATCTGACACGATTTTGGCTCAGGCCATGGTCTCCTGGTCCTGAAATCGACCAAATCCAGGTCCTGTGTGGTCTGTGTGGAGCCTGCTTGGGATCCTATCTTCCCTCTCTCTCTGCCCCTTCCTCACTCATGCTCGTTCTCTCTCTCAAAATAAATAAATAAGCATTTTAAAAAACATATATAATTACCAGTTAAATTTGAATGTCACATAACCAAAAAGAACTCGTAAAAAAATATTTTATCCCCATTCTCCTTTCCAGCTTTTTGTGCTTTCTTGAAAACCTTTATCTTCACTGTGTTTATTAGCTTTCATAAAGAATAAGCTTTTAGAGTCAATTAACCATTAAAACCAGAAAATGTTTCCTATATGTCAGGCATGATTTACTACATTTATTCTACTTGTTAATTCTGTTGAGTTCATTTAATTTTAATGGATTTGTCAAACATTAAAAAAGACACGTTTAAAAATTCCCATCATGCCTATATTTGCATGTTTTTCTTCTCCTCCTCTCCCCCCCCCCCCCCCCCCCCCCCCCCCCCCCCCCCCCCCGCAGTGTTTGAGTGTCAGTGTTCTGTGACTCAGTCTGGAAACCTATTTCTTAACTCTTGTTTTTAGAACAACTTCCGAGAAAGCACTCGTTGGTAGTATGGCCTCTAGGTGAAACAGACCTACGTTCAGGTTCCATCTTTGCCTGAATGGATGACAAGGAAAGCCATTTAGCTTCTCCAGGCCTCGGTTTCCTTGTTTGCAAAATGTCAATAGTTAACCTACTAATGGGTTATATGGAGGATTAGCGATAATGTAGGTGACACATAGTAAACTATCATTTTCATATATTAGCAACAATTAACTTTTTAAAAAAGCTTTATGAAATATGTTCAAGCTTACCAATATATTTCTTTTTAAAGTGGAGATGTTCATATATTAATGTAACTTATGTCGCAAGATAGTTTTCATCTCAAAAATCTTGATGTGCTTAGAGAATAATACTTGAATTTTTTAGTTCTTTTTTCTTTGGGGGGGGGGGGGTAGTCTCCATGCCCAGAGTGGGCTTGATCTCACTACCCTGAGGTCACGAGGCACATGCTTTACTGAGCCAGCCAGACGCCCCAGGTCTGTATTTTTATATTGGTACCACCATTTATAGTCTTGAACGGAGGAAGTTGTTTTTTAATGTTTTCATCCAGAATTAGAAGGGAAGGAAAGACCCTGAACGAGATTTAGGTCAAAGAACCTCGGACTCAGCGCCATTCTGCAGGTACGGGAAGTTTTTGAGCTTTAAAGTCCCCTCGTGTAGGGGAGTGATTATGCCTGCAATTGGGAGTAGAGGTGGGGAGTGCCATTGGAGAGGCGCACAAGACTGTATACAGCCGCCCACGATTCCTCTTTCTAGGGAGAGAAAAAACACTGCGCGGCGAGCATTCAACGCGAGCCAAGCTTTTCAAACCTCAATCCCTACAGCCACGTGGCGCCCGAGGGATCCCCGGGCCCACCAGGTTGCAGACGCCGCTCTCCTATCAGGGGGATTCGCGGCGGGACCCACCACCGCCTAGGTCCAGGGAAGCCTGCAACCTCTGGGACCGTGGTCGCCACACCAAGGGCTACAGCCCGGAACCCGCTCTGGGACAGAGCGCCCCGGAGACGCTTGGTGCCAGCCTTCAACTCTAGGGATCCCCGGAAAGCCCTCGGAACTATTTCCCGGGGACAGGTCCGGGCAACAGGTCCGGTGGGGCCGGGACAGGCTGGACGGAGCCGAACTCCGCGACAGCCGGTGAATCAGCGCCGGCACCCAGGTCAGCCCTCCCCAGCCAATGCCAGACCTGGGGAGGAACAGCTGCGACGCCGATCACGGGCCACTCAGGGCTCGCGGGGCCTGGAAGAAGGTGACGTCATCGTAGCTGGGAGGTTTCAGCAGGCTCCACCAATGGGAGACAAGCAAAGTGGATTGCTTTCTGTAGCTCTGAGCCAATACTAACAAAGCAAAAGGGGGTTGTCGGTATAGAACCAATGGAAAACAGGGAAGGAGCACGAGGCGGAGTTGCGAATCCTGTCACCAATTGGAGGGAGGGGGTGGAGCCCGGGCCTTGTCAAGCGCAACCAACTAGAGAGAGGAGCGGACTCTAGGGGGCGGGGCCGTAATGTTTTTCCCCAATCGGACAAGGCAAGGGGCGGGGCATTCTTTAGGGTGTCCAATGAGGACTGCAGCCGAAGCGGGCCTGTCAAGAGAAGGGGCTGGGGGCGGGGGGATGGTGAGTCGGAGATAAACACTCCGCGGCGGTGGCGGCTGCTGCTCTTCTTCGGGTTCTGTCACGGTGTTGGCGGTGCCCCGCTCACCGGTCCCCCTCCCCCTTCCGGCGAGCGTGGTCGCCAGAGAGGCTCTCTCAACCCTGCTCTGCGGGGTCCACAGCAGGGCGCGGGTGTCCGGCGGCGGCGGCGAGCCCGTGGGCAGTGGGGGTTGGTCCCGCGGCTCCGGCCCCCGGTGCAGAATGGCGGCGGCGGTTCGGATGAACATCCAGATGCTGCTAGAGGCGGCCGACTACCTGGAGCGGCGGGAGAGAGGTGCACGGGGATGGGAGGGGTCCGTCCGGAGCCGGGGCTGGGGGCTCTGAGGGGCCCCGCCGCGGGTAGGGACGCCCAGCCTCTCTGGGGGTGGTTGGAAGCGCGGAGAGCGCGACCGCGAGCGCTCCCAACCCCTCCAGCTCTCCCCACGCGCGGTCCGAAGGGAGGCCACTGCTGCCCCAAAGGCGATGAATGGAGGTGGAAAAGGAGCCGCTGGCCCCCGAGGTCCCGAGCGCCGCCCCCTCCCCATCCCGAAGCGAATGGTGTGCCTGGGGTCCCCTGGGCCAGGCCCGTGGTTTACCTCACTGGGGCTCTCCCGACCGGCCCCCAAATGGGCCTGGCGCCCTGTCTCTCCGCCGGAGGAGCAGCGCCTGCCCTGTGCCCCCCCTTCCCCGCCCTCTGGGCTCCGGGTGTTTGCCCCGCACCTTCGCCTGAGTCTGGTCCCACTCAAAGCACACCAACCTGCTGGACTTTGCCAATGGGAAACCCAGACACCACGAGCTTAGCGACTTGCCGTGTCTTTCTCAACAATGAGCAGCTGGAATGCTCCTTACACCTGCTCCGAACTGAGAGTATTCACACAATTTTAAAAAGCAATCATTGTTCTGAGAATTCCACCTTGCTTCGTTTATTTCTTTCCACAATATTCTTTCAAGGAAAAATAAAATTTAAAAAGGAACTGCTGTGGAGAGGAGAGAGTATTGAATGTTCTAGTCTCATTCATTAACTGGATCCTTCGGTTTTCTAGAAGCTGAACATGGTTATGCCTCCATGTTACCATACAATAACAAGGACAGAGATGCCTTAAAACGGAGGAACAAATCTAAAAAGAACAACAGCAGTAGCAGGTAATTTGGTAAATATTTCTCTTTCTCTTAGATTATACTGCAGATGACACAAACTGCAGAATGGAAGTTGCCTGTTGTGATTGTAACTCTAAATACATTAAGTGGCAATCATGATTCAGTAAGGCACACATGGTCTTAAGCCATTGGAGGAAGCAGCCCTTCTGTTTGGGTTGAGGGGACTGAAAAGAAAAGAGGAATGGAAATACTTTACATTTCTTTATGAAGTTTTAAAATTAATTTTGCTTTTCTTCCCTTTTGGAACAAAATTTTTTGGAAACTTCCAGGGGGATTAGTTGACAGTGACCATGATTTGCCTTCAGAAGTTGCAGATTCTGGGCAGGTTTTCTGTAATTGAAAATGCTAGACATTATCCATTTCTTTTATTTTTCATAGTGAAGATTTTATGAACATGTTAAAGTATCTAATTTAGCATAGGTGGTAGGATTTCATAGTTGACATGTAAATTAAATGCAGTGGTTTGTCTGATAATCTGTTAACATCTATTAATACTGGCAAGGGGAATGATTGAGGTTAAAGCCTGCCTTTTTGGTGATGGAGTAACATATAATATTAAAATATTAATATGCCACAGTCCTTTTAGGTTAGCCTTATAGTTCTTAAAAATCTGTGAATCTCACTTCCCAGTGGTTAATGGTCAGTGAAATCACATCAAAGCCCTGAATATAGTTTCTTACTTATTAATTATACTGCCCCCTTTTTTCCTCTCTCTACCCTTAAAATATAAGTTAGCTAGGAAATCTGCTAAATCAGTTTAATTACATTTTTCATTCCAGTAAATTAAGTCATTCACATCTTCATCACTGATTTAGAATCCTTATTCCTCTCCCATTATGAATAACTCCCTGCAAGTAACTGTATTTGGTTAGCCTCGGTGGCATAATAGAGACCACTAAAAGCCAGGAGGTCCCACTTAAACCTGAAACTCAAGTGTTCTTGCTGTTGCTTCTGTCCTTGATTCACCCTATTGTTCTTAGTGTCGGTAGAAACACAGGATGTGAGCAGCACACATGTGCTGAGCTCTTGAATAGGAAGGCACGTGAAGGATGAACCTGGTAATTAACTACCCCATGGTTTTTCATTTCCCTCCCATCTTTCACATTACCTGATGGTGGTGCCCAACAGATCTGTGTGTGGGGCTTACAGGCCTTTAAGAATGGTGTTAACACTGACTTGTATTGTGCGGTGGAATAAAACAATTCAGCTGTCTTGCATTTTGTTACAGTATTTTTAACGTTTTGGAAGAACTTGGGGAGCCTTTTAGTTTATTTTTCTCAAAAATGTAGTCCATTTGTTGCTTTTATTCTTATCCACCCATGATTTGGGAGGAATTGTCCACACTAATAGTCCAGGCTTAATCCTTAGCACTTTCTTTTTCCCTAAGTTTCACAGGAAAGTTGGAGGAGGTTCAGTGGTGGGGAGAGGAAAAGAAAATAATGTTGTCGACAGAGAAGTAGGTCAGTCCCAAAGAAAAATAATGATAGTTGAGAACTACAAGCCAAGAAACAGATACTTTCTCTTTAATATCCAGCATTATTGCTGGAAAAATAGCTGTAACTTCTGTTTTGGAAAAGGTCTCTTCTGTTAATGGGCTTGGTTTGCGTTCCATGGTTAGAGACAGGAGGCTACCACAGGTTCCCATATTCTTGACTAATAATGAATTAGCGTAATACCCTCGGTGGTGCAAGGATCTGTGAGAAACCATGACTAACCCTGGAGATGGCACCAAGCAGACACGTAGCAAGAGCAGGTTGTTTTAAGTGTGATCACTTCCTTCATGCCCTGTTTGGAATAACCCTCACCTGAGCAATGAGACATCTTCCCCAGAGAATGCAGTTTGACCCCTTGATTTGAATTGACTTCAGTCCAAGGCCATGTATGGTCAGGATTTTGAACTGAGGTAAGGGCTATGGAGAGATTACTGCTGGTTTATATAACCACTGGGTAACCGTGTAGTCTTGTTACTTCAGGTTGAAATGCTGTGCTCTTTGTAGAGTCAGGGGGCTACTTTTCCTGGGACAATTAAAAAACAAGATTAATTAGCTACATATCCAACTTCTTGGGAACTGAAAATGCAGACCTTAATCCAGTTTCTCTAGTTGCTTGTTTAAAAAAACAAAACCACATGAAATTTTGAATGTTGATTCAGAATCATCCAGAGAACTGGAATACAGGGAGGTGGAATCTTTTTTTTCCTTTTCTACTGATTTTTGAAGTGAGTTACTAATTATTTAGGATTGAAATCCAGAGTTTATAAAGGTATATCTTGTTAAATTGGTCAAGCAGGCTTTGGCATTCATGTGAAAGAGGAAGCTCACACCTGCCACCTAGCTCTTTTAGGCAACTGTGGCCTACAGTTGAGCTGACGTGGAGAGTCTTTTTGAACCCAAGGACTTTTCCTATTTCTTATACACTCCGTAGTTTGGCTTAGTTACCTTTTTGTTAGAATGTTTTTAAATGGGGACATTTGACCTTTACCAGTGATTCCAGAGTTCTCAAACATCTTCAGTAATCCAACGGAAAGTAATTTTGACGCAAGGTGTCTATGTATTCTTATAATGCTTTAATTAAAAATATAAATGTTTACCCATTAACAGAGTTGGCAAGCAATCTCTGGACTGATCATTTTTAATGGCTTTTATTAAAGATACACTCCATTTCAGTCACCCAAATGCACTTCGTTATTGCCATTAGATAGAAGTCCCCTTGTAAAAACCATGATATGTTCAATACTCTTAAGTAATCAAATCTGTAGTTTCAAACACTGCTCAAAGTTTGGAAGGAGTTGTGCTTCCTATGGAATTTGTTAAAAGTTTCTCTTGGGGAGTCAGAATTTTTCTTAAATGTATCTTGAAAGAAACCAGAAATTTTCGGTAAGAGGGCCCTGTGTGCTACTTTCTGTAATCAGAGATTCTTTTCAAATATCCACCTTTCTCTCCTCTACCGCCGTCCTGGGATGGTCCCTGTCTGTAGTTAGACAGGGAGATCCTGACCAGCTGCTGCTATATGCTTTAAAAAACCTGTCAGACTTTGAACTTGCTATTCGCTGTTAAATCCAAAATGCCACGTGCTTTAAAGCCAAAGGTTTGCTGGGCAGGCCTCACTCTTGTTAACTATGATATCCTGCTGGCCGTTGCAGGAAGTAAACCTTCAGAAAAATGTAACTGAAGAAGGCTGAGGGAAAACCAGGTGAATCAATGTAAAGCTTTTGAGGTAACTAATTGTGAGGTCCTTTATCTAGAAAACAAATATCCTAAAACTTAAAATGTTGTTATTTACTTGATTCTCCTTGTGAATAAAGATTGGTGTGCCAAGAGCCTTGTGGAAGAGAAGTTTTAGTGCTGGATTGAAAATTTCTCCTTCTAAGACTGTAAACCAGCACGTACACCCTGCCGCCCTTGTCTGGTGTGAATGAACTTGGTGGTGGTTGCCCCCGCCGGTATAAATAAGTGGCTGAGCATTCATGGAGGTCCTGTTTCTCCGTGATTACTGCGAGAAGTTCTCTGTAGACCCAGTGAGGTTCTGATTGTGGCCACATGGAATTCATGACCTGAGCCAGGGTGTTATCTCCTAAATTAGATTCCAGAGTTTCCATTAAGAAAGGTCAAGATTCAGCTCCTTTATAATGCTGGGAGGCTCCTCAAGTTTATGATTAGTTAGGGAGGAGTTGTATGAGGACGACATGCAAGAAGTGGCCACGTTGACTGACTTCTGGGAACTTCTGTGTAAACCTGTCCAGAAATTCTTTGACCAGACCTTGTATTTGAGGTCAGCTATAAACACAATAATGGGATTTCACCTTCACCACAGCTTTCTTCCAGGGCTCTCTAATCACTTTTACAGTTGCTACTTCATTGATCCACGCATGTTCAGTAGATAGATAATTGACAGTAATTTTTACCCCAGTTTTACAGAGGGGTTAACCAAGGACAAGATAGTAAAGAATATTTCTTCTACAGTACCGGTCAGTGGACTTCAGATTTCACCCTAACTGTTGCTTTAACCAGTCTACGCTGTCTTTATGTTGAGCTGAGTTTTAGAAACCCCTTCCTGAAATCATGCGGTAGCTGTTCACCAGTCGCATTTTTCAGGAGGTTGTACGTGATCACATAATTACGTCAGGGAGTAGAAAGGTTGAGGAAAGAGTTATCCATTTAAAAATGTGGCCTCTTGTTAAACATTTTAGCATAAAGTGTTGGCATATATACCACACCTAGAAAAAAACTGCAGGACTAGGAGGGAGCGCCACCTCCACTATTGGACCCTCAGCCTGAAAGCTTCGGTGTTCTATAACCTGCATTCGTATCCCATTGTGCAGCTGCTTTTCTCTTTGTATAAATAGGCCCCTTTTATTTCCCTTCTCAAAATGGATTACCTTTCCACTAGGGCTTGCACACATTTAAGTTTGTCACTCCTCCTTGAACTCTATTTTAGATATTTACATTTATCTAACTCCTCAGAGGGATGAATTTCTTTAGTAGAACCCACCAAGTTTTTCTCCCTTTCTCTGTTTTCTCTCCTACCAACTTTGGAGAGAAAGAAGTTAAAATAATTGTACTGGTGTTGAAGCAGTCGTTTAAGACAGGAAGAATCTTACTCTCTTTTCCTTGTTCCCTCTTTCAGATCAACTCACAATGAAATGGAGAAGAATAGGTGAGTTGGGGATTTTGTGGGTGGGATGGGGGCCGTTTTGATGTATACTCTGTTCGTTGAGACTTGGTTGATTTTCTGGTCTTTTCCCACAAGTAGCACCTGATACGAGAGTATACTCAGGCCAGCTAAGCAGCACTGCCCATAAATCACTTAGGTAGATGAAGGGCTTGCAGGTTCCAAAGACCACACCCCTACCCCTCACTCCTGCAACCTGCTTCTCCCGAGGAGTGCCTTTCCGGATGACTGTTTCACAGGCCAAAGAATTTTAGGTCATGATCAGTGTTTCCACAAATAGTGTTTTTAAAAAAAAAATTATATACTGCTGAATATAATCGGTAGTTCTGTCTTAGGTCATGTATACATCCAGATATATATAAATACACATGCATATGTGTGTGTGTATTTACAGTTTACTTGTGAATAAAGATTCCAAAATTCAGGCAAATCTATGCATAGCACAAATTGGAGATGGTGATTCACTAGAGGAGGCCTGCCATCCTCACTGGGATCCATCTGGCTGAGCTGAGTTGATCTCTCTCACCTGGATTGCCTCTTGCTATTTGTTTAAATATTTTCTAAATCAGCTTTGCCCCTCCTTCAGTGATGTAGCCTAGTGGTACTTGACTCTGGTCATACATTAGAGTCCTTTGCAAAGGTTTTATTTTAATGGTTTTTAAAAATATTTTTGGGGTGCCTGGGTGGCTTAGTTGTTAAGCATCTGCCTTTGGCTTCGGTCATGATCTTGCATTCGTGAGTTCAAGCCCCACAGCATGCTCTTTGCTGCCCATGCAGAGCCCACTTCAGATTCATTCTCTCCCTCTCCCTCTCAAAAATGAATAAACAAAAAACTTAGGGGCACCTGGGTGGCTCAGTCCATTAAATGTCCAGTGTCAGCTCAGGTCATGATCACACAGTCCATGGGTTCGAGCCTCACATCGGACTCTGTGCTGACAGCTCAGAGCCCGGAGCCTGTTTCGGATTCTATGTCTCCCTCCCTCTCTGCCTGCCCCCCTCGTGGTCTGTCTATCAACAATAGTAAAAAAAAAAAAAAAAAAATAAGAAATAAAATTTTATATTAAATACATCATATGCATTTATATATTTGAAGATCAGGGAATTTTATCTCTGCTGATTTTATAAAACAGAAATTTTCAGACACATGAGAATGAATAATGTAATCAAGTCCTATGTGTCCACACCCAGCTTCAACAATTACCAACGTTTTGTCAATCTTCTGTAATCAAAACCATCCCTCTCCATGGAGTAGTTTAAAGCAAATCTTTTATCTCTAATAAAGGCTTTTTAAAAAAACATAACCACTCACTTTTCCCATGCTGGGGGGTGGGAGGAGAATTAATGGTAATTCTTAGTAGAGCTTTTAAAAGAAAGAAAGAAACCAATGCCCAGACCTCACCCCTAGCAATTCTGATTTAATTGGTTTGGGTTGAGACTCTGCTCTAGTATTTTTTAAAAGCTCCCCAGGTGATTCTCATGTGCTGCCAGGGCTGAGAACCATTGAACAAGCCTCATTCTGGTCTCTGAGCTCCCATCAATTTGAAATACAGCTACCCGTTCACACTGAGTGGCTTTCTCGGTGCTCTGCATGAACAAGATGATGCTGTGTAATAACAGCTCTGTAAATACATACGGTTATTTCATGCACACCTTCTATGCTCTTCATAGAGTCTGACTCTGAAAGTCAGGATCTGAATGACCTGTTTCGTCAGTGAAGGGACAGACCAGACTTACTAGGAAGGAGAATCTCGGAACAGAGTGAACATTTAGCATTCCTCCACTGAGGAATTTTGTGTGTGCACATGCTCAGCGTTGAGGGGTTGCATGTACCTCACCACACGCTTGCGTCTCCCCAGCCCTCTTCTTCCCTTTTAATTTCTCTGACTGTGACTGACTGTTTTAAGCCAGAGCTTCCTTTATGCTTTAGGGATTTACATATCCTGAATTGGGAACTCAAAAGTATCTTTTAAGGTAGAAAGATAGTCAAATGTCATTTCTGTTTCTCCTCTTGAGATTTTCTCTCCACTTTCTGCCTTTGGGTGAACTGGGTAAACTGGGACTCTGTGCTGAAAAGTCTTCCAGCTGTCTTCCCCCATTCCCCAACCTCTTAGGCATTTAATTTTCTGTATCTCTATTAGGCACTTATTTTTGTTATTAAGATTTTACTCCTCACTAAGGAGGGCACTTGTTGGGATGAGCATGGGGTGTTGTATGGAAACCAATTTGACAATAAATTATATATTTTTTTAAAAAAGGTTTTACCCCTTCAGATCAGGGCTCTTACACTTCCTACAACTTGGTGCTTTTTACCTCTGCAAGAATGCCACACGATGTCAGTTTTACCTTTTATTTCAGCAGTTCAGGGATATTTCTTTTTTGCCTACAGTGTCTCAAGAACTTGGGCTCTGTACTAGGTATTAAATGAGTTCACACTGGGGTATTAAGTTGGCATTAGAGAAATGTAGTTTGTCTAACGAGAAAGACATGGAGACTGTTCCAGTGAGTGCGCTACGTGCTAAGATTGAGGTGTGCACAAGAGGCTGTGGAGGCAAAGAATCTAGAAAACTGGAGTGGCAGTCCCCACCAGGCAAGCTGCTTTTAATCCAAACTGCTTCTGTATGGCCAGTCAACCTTTGCTTGTTGAAGAGGCAGTTATCTGGTTTCCTTATTGTTCTTTCCGTTTGGAATTTGGTCTTTTAAAGTCTTGATAATTTTTTCTCTAGTCGAGAGCACGTGAGCAGAAAAGAAGGAAGTAAAGACTCGAATTTCTTAATTTAACCAAGCATTGGTTGCTGCAGTCCAGGAGAAGAACGAAGTTGTCAGGCTCTTCTTCCCTTATTGGTGTAGATGCTTAAGAAGCTGCCGGTTTTGAAGTCAGTTGAACAGCTGCTCTTGTAGCCTCCCTGGTTTTAGTGGCTGATTCCTGTAAAAGAATCCCACCGAGCTTAATGCACAATACACATAAGCCATTCTTTACTTTAAAACCTCACATAAAAAAAATTGACCTGTCTCTTAAAACCTTAGGAAAAGAACTTCTAACAGTGGGATTTTTTTTTCTCTTGGATATTGCAGAGTTGATTATACTTGGGTTTCAATTTTTAAACAGAAACCTTTTCTGTGACACTTCAGAGATTCTGAATAATTATAATTGGTGTTCATTTGGACCCCACTATGAGAATCTTAGACTCAATACCGCCACCTTGATATCCTTGGCCTTGGTGGGAAGATAAAAGCCTTCTAGAATGGTGGAGGTAGGGGTATTTGCCATTCACTAGATTAGAAGATGCTGTGTACTTGGTGCTGGGAACACAGAGCCCGATGAAGACGAAGCCCCTGGGGTGGCGGGATAGCACCGTGGATACGCGTGTCTGGCCCTTGGCCTGTGCTTCTCATAACCATAACGAATTTTGTGGCTCTAGCCTCCTAAGGAAACACCTTTAAATGAGCGTGTGGTATTTTTCTTTGTAAAACTAATCTTCTAGAAAATTTTGAGAAATGTAGAAAGTGTTTCTAAAAACAATTTATGTCCTCCATAACTCGAGCAGCAAGAGGAAACCAGTGGAACTTTGAAGTGTAGCTCAACAGTTTTTGGAAAATATAAAAATCACTTGTAATAGATCTTGGGACAGTTAATAGCCGCTGACATTCCTGCTAAGTTCCGTATCCATCTAGACTTTAGTGTGTGTTGTTTCATTAACATGGGATCATATAGTAAATATTTTGTATCTTCTTTTCAAGCTACATTATGAATATTTTCCAGTATCCTTAACTCTTCTAACATTATTTTTAGTGAAGGCCAGTATTTACCTCATACAGATGTGCCCTAACTCCTATAACCAACCCCCTGTTTCAGGTTCTTCCCAGTATTTTGCTGATGGAAAAAGCACTTCCTTAAACCACCTTGTAGATAAATCTCTGTCCGACATCATAATTATTTCCTTAGGGTAAATTTATAGTTGTGGAAATAATGATATGCATTGTTCTGGTTTTAGGTGTCAACAGACGAACTGTCCACCAGGCAGGTTATAGGCCGTATTTTCCTTATACTTTCACAAGGTGATATTCTAATTTAAGACCTTTATGAATTTGATAAATAAAAAACAAACAAGCAACTTGTTTTAGTTTGCATTTCTTACATTATTAGCACAGCCAAATTTTCGTATCTTTGTGTGTATCTATCACCTGTTGAATAACATTTGCCCAATCTTCTACCAGGGCGTGTCTTTTTCCTTCTTCTGAAAAGATTATATAACATAAAGGATATATCTGAAAGAGATTGCCCCTTTGCATATCACATCATTTTCCAACTTATCATTTCCCTTAACAGAATTTTTCTCACTGTTTTTCTCACTGTTTGAAGTTGCTGCCTCTATTATATATTAAATTCTTGTTTACCACTGAGTCTGTTTCGAGACCGCTTCTTCTGTCCCACTGGCTGCCTGCTTGTCCCGCCCCAGTGCACGTTGTTTCAGTCACTGAGGTTTTGCCGGGCACTTCAAGATCTGGTAAATCACTTTCCTTCTCTTCCCTCCTCCTTTTTAAATTTTACCCTTCTTAGCTATTTTCACTGGTTTTATTTTTTTCCTGATGAATTTTATAGTCCACCCATCTCCACATCCCTCAGATTCTTTGGAGATTTTCAAAATAAATAAAACTTTTAATAATTTCAACACAAATTAACTTTAAAAGTTCATGTTCACAGATCAGCTCTTTCCATCCAGGATTTGGTGTGTATCTTCATTTATTCAGATCTGTTTCCTGTCTCTAAAGTTTTATGGTGTTTCCCCACAGATATTGCGCAATATTTTTTGTAAAAAGTATTTCTGCATTTGTATTTTTTATTTTTATTTATTTTTTAGTTAGAGCCCGCGTGTGAGTGAGGGAGGGGCAGAGAGAGAGAGGGGGAGAGGGAGAATCCCAAACAGGCCTCACACAGTCAGCACAGAACCCAACATGGGGCTCAATCTCACAAACTGCGAGATCAT